GGGGGGGGGGGACAGGGACACACAGGGGAGGGGACATGGACACACAGGGGGGGACAGGGACACACAGGAGGGGACAGGGACACACGGGGGAGGGGACAGGGACACACAGGAGGGGACAGGGACACATGGGGGGGGACAGGGACACACAGAGGGGGACAGGGACACACGGGGGGAGGTGAGATAGTGACCCTCGAGGGAGGGGACAGGGACACTCGCCAGGGGACGATGCCACCACACATGGGGGGACAATGCCACCATTCTCGTGGGGACGCTGCCACCAGGACCCACGGCGGGCGACGCCCGGTGCCACCCCCGGCGGGGACATGTGACCCCACGGGTGACACCGCCCACGGCCCGACCCTTGCCCTGCGTGTCCCCGCGGCGCTGCCATGGCGGTGGCCGCGGCTCTGGGTCCCCTGGGCGCGGTGGCCCTGGGCACCCTGGGCACCCTGGCGCTGTCGCTGCTGCTGCGCTGGCTTTGGGACGCGGCGGTGGCTGTCGCCCGCTTCCGGGCCACTTGTCGCCAGCTGAACAGGTTCCCCCTCCCGCCCTGGCGCAACTGGCTGCTGGGACACACCGGCGTGGTGAGGGGACAGCGGGCACAGCGGGGACGGGGGGTGGCACCCGGGAGAGGTGGCAGGGACGGGGTGGTGGCATCTTGGGGGGGCACGGCGGGGACGGGGCGGTGGCACCTTGGGGGGGACGGCGGGGACAGGGCGGTGATGGCCGGGGGTTGGACAGGGACAGGGGTGGCACCTGGTGGTGGCAGCGGGAACAGGTCTGGGGAAGTGTCAGGGACACCCGGGGGGACAGTGACACACGGGGGGGACACGGGGGCACACCGGGGGACAGGGACACACAGGGGGACACGGGGGGACACGGGGGGACAGGAGGACACGGGGGGGGACGGGGGACACATAACGGGACAGGGGGACACTGGGGGACAGGGGGACACACGAGGGGACACGGGGACACACAGGGACACACGGGGACACGGGGGGGACAGGGGGACACACGGGTGGACAGGGGGACACACGGGTGGACAGGGGGACACAGGGGGACACGGGGGGACAGGGGGACACACGAGGACGCAGGGACACATGGTGGCACCTGTGGGGGGGCAGAGGGGACAGGGTGGTGGCACCTGGGGATGAGCGTGTCCCTAAGGCACGCTGAGGACACACATGTCCTCAAACTGGGAACACGCGTGTCCCCATGGCTGGCAACAGGTGTGTCCCCATGGCTGGCAGTGCCCCCGTGGTCACGCGTGTCCCCCGGTGTCCTCAGGCCGGGATCACAGGTGTCCCCTGGTGTCCCCAAACTGGGATCACAGGTGTCCCCTGGTGTCCCCTGGTGTCCCTGAGCTGGGTTCACCCGTGTCCCCAGTATCCCCAAGCTGGGATCACAGGTGTCCCCAGTGTCCCCAAACCAGGCTCACCCTTGTCCCCAGTGTCCTCAGACCGGGATCACAGGTGTCCCCTGGTGTCCCCAAGCTGGGATCTCAGGTGTCCCCGAGCCAGAATCACAGGTGTCCCCATGGTTGGCAGTGCTCTGAGGTCACAGGTGTCCCCTGGTGTCCCCAGGCTGGGATCAGAGGTGTCCCCCTGTGTCCCCAAGCCGGGATCACCCATGTCCCTGGTGTCCCCAAGCTGGGATCACAGGTGTCCCCTCATGTCCCCAAGCCGGGATCACACATTTCCTATGGTTGGGAACATGTGTGTCCCCATGGCTGGCAGTCACAGCTCCTGAGGTCACAGATGTCCCCCTGGTGTCCCCAAGCCGGGATCACAGGTGTCCCATGGCTGGGGGTCACACATGTCCCATGGTTGGCAGTGCCCCCGTGGTCACCCGTGTCCCGTGGTGTCCCCGTGTCCCATATCTGGGATCACGTGTGTCCCCAAGGCTGGCAGTGCCCCCCGGTCACCTGTGTCCCACGGTGTCCCCAGGCTGGGATCACGTGTGTCCCCAAGGCTGGCAGTGCCCCCCTGGTCACCCATGTCCCATGGTGTCCCCGTGTCCCCAGACTGGGATCACATGTGTCCCCAAGGCTGGCAGTGCCCCCCTGGTCACCCGTGTCCCGGGGTGTCCCCAGGCTGGGATCACATGTGTCCCCAAGGCTGGCAGTGCCCCCCTGGTCACCCGTGTCCCGTGCTGTCCCCGTGTCCCCAGGCGCAGAGCACGGAGCAGGGCCTGCAGGCCGTGGACGCGCTGGTGGCCCGGTACAGCCACGGTTGCCTGTGGTGGGCACTGCCTTGGTTGCCCGTCCTGCGCCTCTTCCACCCCTCCACCCTCCGACCCCTCCTCAGCGCCTCAGGTAGGACATGGGGCCACCAGACCTGTCCCCAGGGCCACCAGACACCTCCCCAGGGCCACCAGACACGTCCCCAGGGCCACCAAATGTGTCCCCAGGGCCACCAGACACGTCCCCAGGGCCACCCCAGCTGTCACCAGGGCCACCAGTTGCATCCCCAGGGCCACCAGTCACGTCCCTGGGCCACCAAACATGTCCCCAGGGCCACGCCAACTGTCCCCAGGGCCACCAGATGTGTCCCCAGGGCCACCATTTGCATCCCCAGGGTCATGAGACACGTCCTCAGGGCCACCAGATACGTCCTCAGGGCCACTAGTTATGGCCCCAGGGCCACCCCAGCTGTCCCCAGGGCCACCAGACACATTCCCAGGGCCACTAGTCATGTCCCCAGGGCCACCAGTCATGTCCCCAGGGCCACCAAACATGTCCCCAGGGCCACCAATTGTGCCCCCAGGGCCACCAGATGTGTCCCCAGGGCCACCAGACACATCCCCAGGACCACCAGTCATGTCCCAAGGGCCACCAGTTGCGTCCCCAGGGCCACCCCAGCTGTCCCCAGGGCCACTCCGGCTGTCATTGAGGCTGACATGGTCACCTGGTGGTGGCTGCTGACCCAACCCCTGGGGTCCCCAGAGTTGTCCCCCATGGCCAGTTGGTGGTCACCAACCTGTCCTTGAGGGTGCCCAGGGCCACCCAAAGGTGTCACCGTGGCCGGTCCATGGTTGTACCCCAAACCCCACCCCATGGTGGCTGTGGGTGTTGGCAGAGGGTCCCCACTCTGAGTGCCTCCACCCAAGGGGACGTGATGGCACCTTGGTGGCCCCCTGCCCACCCTGGTGGCCCCTTGCCCACCCTGGTGCCCCCTTGCCCACCCTGGTGGCCCCTTGCCCACATGGTGGCCCCCTGCCCACCCTGGTGGCCCCTTGCCCACCCTGGTGCCCCCTGCCCATCCTGGTGGCCCCTGCCCATCCTGGTGGCCCCCTGCCCACCCACCCCCCTCTCCCCCAGCCTTCGTTGCCCCCAAGGACGAGATGTTCTACGGATTCCTCAAGCCCTGGCTGGGTGAGTGGGGCTGGGGAGGGGGCAGCACCCCTGGGTGGATCTGAAAGGACCTGGGGGTCTCAGAGGGACAGGGGCAGCACCCCTGGGTGGTCCCAGATGGGGTTGGGTGTCTCAGAGGAGGGGCCAGCACCCCTGGGTGGTCCCCGATGGATCTGGGGGTCTCCCAGGGAATGGGGGGCAGCACCCCTGAGTGGTCCCAAATGGATCTGGGGGTCTCAGAGGAGGGGGCAGCACCCCTGGGTGATCCCAGATGGGTGTAGGGGTCTCCCAGGGACAGGGGCAGCACCCCTGGGTGGTCCTGGATGGCTCCGAGTGTCCCTCCCGGTGAGGGGGCAGCAGGGAAGGGGTGCAGCCCCCCTGGGTGGTCCCGGATGGATCTGGGTGTCCCCCGTGGTGAGGGAGCAGCAGGGAAGGGGTGTAGCCCCCCTGGGTGGTCCTGGATGGCTCCGAACGTCCCCCCTGGGTGAGTGGGCAGCAGGGACGGGGTGCAGCCCCCCTGGGTGCCCCCCGGCCATCCCCGGGTGTCCCCCCC